TCGTTCTCCCAGAAAGAGTCACTGAAAGCAATAATAGGGAAGAAATGTTCGCCTGCAGATCCCATCGTCGTGAAAGCAGTTGCTCCTTGTTGGACATTTCGATTCGACTGAGGGGCCCACATGAACTCCACTGAGTTCCAAGCTTCATCAACCAACTTTTCGGGACCAAGCTGTGTATCATCTTGACTCCGGCAACGGTTGAATTTTTGGATACTCTCTTGGGCCAATTGGATCAGTTTGTCCCTGTATGGGCCGTTAGCATCTACAATCGAATCCATCATCTTGACGCTCGCGTTCATTATGACAAACTCATCTTCCCTGAAGTGTCGTTGGCTACCTGTGGGACCTGTTGTAGTGGTTGTTTCCATCTCCCCATCGTTACCAGTGAGAACTTCTTCTCCTGCAGAGGAGGCCTCGAAGCTATCTTCTTCGTCTTCTTCTTCGTCTATATCAGGTTGATCAATATCTTGTTCATATTCAGTATGATCTTCGTCATCGTCTTCATCCGACATGTCTTCTTCGTATTGATCTTCCACTCCTTCAGCTTGAGCAGCAGCAGCACCCGGAAAGGCTTCCTCAAAATCACTATCTTGCTCTTCGTCATCATCATCATCATCAATAATGGGTTGTTCATCAGTGTCGTCTTGTGCTTCTAATGCTTCTTCATCGTCATCAATATCGGGCTGTTGTTGTTGAACAGGTACAGCAGCGGCGGTACCGATACTGGTTTGGGCCGCCAAGGTTGGTACAGGAGCCGAGGCTGTAGTTTGAGCTGTGCGACGCCGACTAGCTGGAGGACCCTCTTCTACAGAGGAGTCCGGGCGTGTCCTTCTCAGTGGTGGTGTCATTGTGCCAAGAAGTAGCAGATGCAAATATTTATTTGTAATGATTAGTCGCCGTCGTTGTTCGCTGTTGTTTTTTGTTGGTTGTGTAGAGATTGTTTTCGTGGTTTGTTCCACGCTGCGTGGGCGATTTCCAAGCTTGCATGCCTGCTCTTTTTGGACAGCCGCGTGCACACCCCGTAATCAGTGGTTCTTTCAATCGTGGTGTTGTACATGTACCGCCTGGCTCGTAACGCATGGCAGTGTTTGGATGTTGAAAATCAAGCTTTGTTGGCTATCGAAGAATCATGCAGCTTTGTTGGCTCAGTGTCGGTTTTCCCTCAGGTTTAAAAATGACTTCAAATTTCCACGACTGGTCAAACAATCCCTTAAATCTTCAACTATCCCTTAAACAAACCCTTAAATAAACAATCCCTTAACAACAATCCCTTAAGCCTTCGAAACAATCCCTTAAGCCACCTATCCCTTAACAATCCCTTATTAATGACAGCTTCGCTCTATCAAGATGATGTTATTATCTCCTCTTTACTCCTTTCGAAGAAGGCTCCACCATGACAGGCTCCTCTTGGTTGGTTCGACAGCGACAGCGAAGCAGTGGAGCTTCTTCCATTGGACAGATCGATTGAAGATTTCATTATCATTCATCATTCGGTGGATGACTCTCTTCTTCCACGGAGCGACCAGACATGATGCCTCCTCTTCCACAGAGCGACCGACGGCTACAACAAGCGGCAGATTCTCTGGTAGTACGGTATTATTGCAGCTTCCTCTTGTTGGGTTGATCAATCTCTGTTGGTGTTGGTGTTGGTGTTGGTGTTGGTGTTGTACTTCCTTGGGCTGTCCTTCTCATTGCGTTGTTGCTTGTTGTTGGTCCAGAAACAATCCCTTAAACAATCCTTTATCACGAATGAACAATCCTTTAAATAAACAATCCCTTAACAACAATCCCTTAAAGCTTCAACAATCCCTTAAACAATCCCTTAACAAAACAATCCCTTAACAAAACAATCCCTTAACAAAACAATCCCTTAATTGTCCAGAGTCAGTCGTGCCAATTTTTAAATCCTGTGTGAAAACCGTCGGACGGTCCAGCTACACCTTCAATCTCGATCTTCATCTACAGCTTCGTTCTCAGTAGTATTGAGCGTGTCGAATAACCTTTTTCTTCTGACACACTACGAGCTGAGATCGATAAGATGCTGAATGGAACTGTATTTCATCATGATTGCCACAGCATTATTAGTGCTTTCATCGCTTCGATCAGCGGTTTGAAGATGCTACTAATCGTTTCGTTTGTCGTCAAGTTGACTCTACTGAAACTAGCTGATCGCTGTGGCAAAATGAGGATTGTTGTGGATTGGGCGGTCGTTGTTTCACAGTCAATAGCTTTAGTTGGTATTCAATGATCTCAGTATATAGCTGTTGTTTGTTGTTGACTCGACTCCCCACAGTAATGGACAGAACAGAAATGGAATACACGGGGCCATTGACTCAATGAAATATCTCGACGCCGAGATAATCCCCAGGTTTCTTTCCCATATAATATGTTCCATACCAAAACCATGGCTCATCGTTCGAGCAACTCTTCGTCAACTCATCATTTCAAACGACGTCGACGATTGATGGTTTGAGGTGTAACCTGCGAGTGGATTGGTTTGGGGCGGTTTTGTGCCACAAAAAAAAGAAAAAAGCATGGAAGTCGCCCAACTTTAAAGCAAGCCAGTTGTTTTTCAATTGAATTGAATTGAATTGAATTGAATCAATTCCCAATCGTAGCACTCTATTCACTCCTTCCTCAGGCCAGCGGCGGACTGCCAATATGGTCAATAGGCTACATAGAGAGGTAAACATGTATCGGTCTTATGGGGTTTAGTGGGTATCCACAGCCCTCCGGGCTCGGTTCCCATAACTGACCCAGGGATTCAAGTAACCATAGCTCTGAGTTTGTAGTTGCTGAAGTGTAACTTTCTTCAGCCCCAAAGCATGGCACATACCCCCAGCCGGCTAAAAGCCAACCCAACCTTTCACGCACGTCGCATGTATACCCCATGCCGCTGCTGAGGAACTTCCACCAGAATCTGACCACATTGCCGAGTGGGCGTAGCGAGGCATCACTGTGTGGCACATTCGGTGATGGGTCACACTTGTTGCGTTTCCAAACCAAACAGCAATCATCCGCAGCAACAAGTTCCTTGGTCGCCCCAAACCAAGTAGTGGATTATTCATATACGGATCAAAATCAGTGCAATACTGATCTCCATCCACAATGCAATCCTTAATCAAATTTCAATTGCGCCCGGCTATCCTCGGACGGCCATCGTCTCTCAGTAGGCTGCTTGACGGGCAGCCCTGAGGGTGGAAAAAGAAATTCAAAAATCATGGATTCAGATACTGTAGTCTCTGGCCCTAGCAGGGTCATGTATCTCGGATGCATATGATACCAGGTGCACGGCATCAAAATCACCCGCGTCGACTCTAATCAGACAAAAGACTCCCATCTCTCGAGTCGAAACCCAACGAGAAACACCATGGCCAACAAAGCTGGTCTCATTCACGTATAGTCAGCCAAATAGGCGTCATTCAACTGTGAGGAGCCACCACGTTGTCCCCTCATGCTGTGTTCAGAGGCAGTGTTGCTTCGCTTGATGGATCGTTCCAGTTGTAAGAGGGATGTCACACGGAGTCTTTAGGGCATCAATATTACTGAATGGCCACTAAAGACAGGAGATGGAGACCAATCTCCATAGCGGGAGGCCTCAGCTCACCCCCGACAGTTGCCAAACTCTCGACTGCCAACGCAGTCGAGCCAAACTACTGCCGAAGCAGAGTTTAGAATAACCCCCTGTCCAAATTAAAAGGGCTGAGCCAGTAGGTGCACCTGTTGCTGAAGAAGTGTCCTCTTGTCTCAAACCTCCTTCCCTGCGATGTTACTTTAAAATGCAACCTTCCAACCATTCAACAAAGGAATGCATCTGGCAACCAGCATGCAATTTCCTCCAACCAACCAATCATCTTCGATCTGTCAGTTCTCTACCATTCTTCAGTCTTCATTCCTGCATGAAGAAGGAATCCAGTCATTCCAATGAGCGGAAGGGGGGCGAATTGAATTGAATTGAATTGAATGGAATCGATCAAAGAAATCTATTCATTCCATCGAATTCTTTGAGAACAGATTCAAAAATTCTTTGAGATCGGCGTGTTGGTCTCATCAGCTTCTATCACCTATCCGAAAGTAATAGACATGTGCATGTAATAGTAGACACACCATGGTCACTCGTTCTCAAACAAGCAACACCTTGAGCTATGTGGAATCATAGAAACTGACGACACTGATACCATCAAGGCAAAAGTGGAGGCCATCTTTGGAGATGTTCCCATTGAATCTGCTGCTGTTTATGCACTACTAGTAAAGGACTTTTCCTTCGTCAACAACGGAGATGACAACGGAGATGACAATCAGGATGAAAATCAGGATGACAATCAGGATGATGTTTCGGAAGAACCCGCTCCACCTAAACGCTCATTTGCACAACAGGTTAGATACATCTCTTTCAATGCAAACCGAAGTTGCACCTGGAAAGATACCACTCGCAAAGACAGTGAGATTGCAGAATATGATTGCTTTATATGTGGGCCAGCTAGATTTCAGAAACGTGTCCATCACCGTGCGTTCATATTATTGGACTATTACAATCTCCTACAAACTAACGATCACCAGTCAGTTGTGCAGTGTGAGGGATGTAAACGTTTCCAATGCATTCGCTGTTACAAGGCAATGCATGAGCTCATGGCAGCGGATACACAGCGAACCCGAGGCCAAGCGCCTACAGCAGCAGCGGCTGCCGTTTCAAGGAAAGCTTGACAGCACCACCACATCAATCAACAAAACCATCATCTTGCCAATCTGCTCTCCTTGGGATCCCAATAATCCCAAGAATGCAACTGAAAGGAAAGTTCAGGTGATTGTTCTTAAAGAACCCAAACTGTTGGCCTTGGACAAAGGCACCTCCACACTGGCACATTGTTCCGAGCCCGTCGTCAAATCAATTATCAAATTGAATAGGAATTACGCAAAGGATTTGCAGAGTACTGGTGTAGAAGTGTTGATGATCTTCTCTGGCAAAGGCATTCTTCTTTATGGAGGGTTGTTGGGCCATGAGTTCGATACAGCAAGTCTCAAAGGAAGTGACGGTGGCGATCTTTTTTGAGCTTTGAGAATTCCTATCTGGAAGTAAAAAACATGAGAAGAACCGCACAGGTGGATCAAATGGTATCCCCTCGGAAAGGATGGAAGACGTAATGTATATGTTAGGAAATCGAGGCCTCACGGGTGGTAATGTAATTGGAGCCGTCCAGTATCGACTGTCAAGCACGAAGATACATGTGGACTACGTCAGTACTACAACACCGGATTTCAAGGTAAACAAGTGGGCCTACAGTGTGCCACGACCCGGTGGTCAAGTGAAACTAACCAGGACCCAGTACAGCTGATTGTCACTTACAACAAGACGCTGGATCAAATAGTTTGTAACCAACAAAGCCTACATCGCTCCTTTACTGACGGCACTCAATCGACATTTCAAGGATCATAAATTTTTTGGGAATCAGTTCTTTGCTATTGATGTCCAAGAGGTACAATCAGCATGTAACGCTGCGGCAGCTGAATACGCCAAAACTGCTGAAAACACTGCAGAGAAAAAGAACATGGGCAAGCAGAAGCAGTCCTTTGTTGACTTCTGGTGTGAGTATCTGGCATGTACTTGTCATTTCACAATCATTGCCTATGCGGTTGATCATCATCAGGACACTGCTGGCAGGCAAATGAACGGGCACAAATCCTTTGTTGAGTGCAAGGAGCTCTGTCGTTTGGAGAATCCCCCTCCAGTATTCTGGACCTATGGCCGTGGAGGTTGTCCTGAAGGACACTGTGTGGGAGCAATTATTGACCATACTTGGCATGATGCACTGCACAACGCAGCTGCAGTTTTTGGTTTGGGAGGTTTACTTCAATATTAACGGATCGTCCTTGTACGACAAGGTATCCTTGAAATTCAAAAACTCTGGGCTGACAGATTGTCTTGTTGTGTCTTGGCCAAGGCCAAACCCGAGATGCTTGCTAAAAGTGGTAGTAGCAACAATGACGGGTACCACTTTGCTGCTGCTCCAGAACCACCCAGTGATCCCAGGTCGGCCATGTTTTACATCCTCCAATCGAGGCCAGATATTTTGAGAGCAGGTACAGCAACGAGTAGCACAAGTACTGTCATGTTTGCTGGCGGCAAGTCCAAGCAGTGAATTCATTTGCCCACCTGGTCTCTGCAGAGAAGATCCATCTTTTTGAATTCGTGTTGCAAAGAAGGAGTTAGTTGATACCGGTAGAGTCTAGTACCAGTAACTGGTAAATGACAGACATTTAGTTGACCTATTCTGGGCATTGCGTCTCCCTTGCGTCAAAAATATGTATTTGTTGGAGAAAATAGAATCTTCGGGAAAAGTGTCCTTGAAAGCAATGTTCATTCAATTCCTTCCATCTCTGCTGGCTGTGTCATTGGTTCAGCCCTAACGGCCTCTTCCGAGTCGAGTCTTGTTCTGGCGGCGCCATTTACCCGGAAAACGAAAGCTGACGGCAGGAACATCCATCTTTGACTTCTTCAAGCGCTAAGCCAAGCTCCTTTAGTCTCCTGTCCCACCGAAGACGCCATTGGTCTCATCAAACATACCGGTACCAATAAGAGAAATCGACTGTTTGTCAGCGAGGCAGAGAATTTTTTCCCAGACGAAAGCCACTGTCAAGTTCGGGTGAGATTTGGATTTGGCCGAAATTCGTCACGGTCGCATTGTAGCGGCGAAAAGAAAATCTACGGTACCCAGTTGAAAATGGCAGACAACTCGAATGGCGGAATAGTGAAGAAACTTTTGTTTCCTGCATCCTCTTCTGGCGCCAATGATACATTTCGGAGTCCCGTGGTTGATGCAGCAGGAAACAACAACGCTTTCTCGCCATATTCTCCGCCAATGCACATGTCCTTTCATCCGCAATCTTCAAGCCAAATGATGAATAGAGCAATGGCGCCCACGTTAAGAGACACCAAACAAGCCGTGGCAGCTCCACCTCGATTCTTTTCTTCGACACATCCATCAGCTGACGGTGATGGGAGAAAACAACAACCATTGCAGACTCCTGCCAGAGTCCCTTCATCCCCGCCTCTTTTGAACCGACAACCTGTCACTCCATCTTCTGAAATGGACACAAAGGCAACATCAGCAAACGGTAGAAATGGCACACAACGAAGGCTGTTCGCCCAGTCCTCGTCCATGTCTGTGGCTATTGATGACACTATGCAGCCATTACACGCATCATCTTCTGAAGGGGGTGAACACAGGCATCATGGCGAAACTGTTGGAAATGATTTTGCAAATGACGACAGCAGTCTGCAATTCCTGAATGACTTCAAGGCAATAAAACTACAAAGACAAACAAATCTCTCCGATGATCAAGCCGAGACTGAAGTCCATGCCAACACAACTACAAAGAGCTTTCAAAAGCAAAAGCAGCAACATGAAGTGCTGGTAGCCGCGACGAAACTTCACTTGGAAGAATCTACGCAGGCGACCCCTTCTCTGTTGGATACAGACGAAGGGCCAACGGCTGCAGCAACAATCCTCAATGATGCAGCAGAAACACACGACAATTCAACAAATGATGGCTTCCAAAGCAACGACGCTGACAAGGAGGACGACGACAGAGGCGATGATTCATCTATGCATGAGCTGCACAGCTATCCGTCATATTCTTCGTACTGGGACAATCCCTTTCACAATCCACTTGCGTCAGCTGTGAAACCCAATGACTTGTTTCGCAAAGAGGGGGACAAGGATACATCGATGGAATCTGACATCAACTCCAATGCATCAGAAATGGGCACAGTGATTGGGGGTCCAGTGTCACTCATGGCAGAGCGTTTTGCCGAAGTGGATGAAATGGAACGGGAAGGAAGGCTAGCGATGCAACTTGACGAAAGTGGCAATGCTGATCCTGTCCACGATACAGCCGACAATGATATATTTGACGATGAGGTCGATCCCTCCATGGTCTCTTACCAAGCGTTTCGCGTTAACGACGATGAAGATGAGGTCGAGACCAATGCTAGTGACCGTCGTGAGATTGACGAAAGTCTTTTTAGCGACCCTTTTCAGACCCCCAGTTCGGCCCCTCCAGCAATCACAAGATTGATCAAAGGCAATGCCATTGACGACGATTCTGAAAGAAAGGAGGGAGAACAAATCGAAGGCTCTAGCAAGCACGAGGCAACTGGCGAAGAAGGCGACGAACCGCAAACTGTTCACGAGTCCATCCGGGATGCCGACCTTGATGAAGCAGCTTTGTCCGTTGTCGACTCAGAAATTGGCCAATTGATTCGACAGAACGCGTCTGAGAACGCGGGGAATGGCCGTTTACTGAGCTGCAGCAGTAACAATAGTGCTGAAGTGTTTCGAACTTCGAGCATTGGTAGCGAACAAGCAGCCCAAGCGAAGGCGCAGTCGCGAATGGCAATGGGGTTCAAGGCGATTTCAGCACCAAGTGAGGAAGTTGATAGGGCTGATAACGAAGTGGATGCAATAAACGACTCCCCGTCTTGCGAGGCTTCAAGCGACTTGGAACAAAGCAAGAGAAGGTCAAGTTCTTCTTTGCAAAGAGCGCTTCGGGCTCGCGAGCAACCCGAAACCGAGAATGATAATGAGGGTAGCAATCCTCGACTCGGTCACGAAGAAAAAAAGCTGCGAGAAGATGAAAAAGAGGAGAAAGAAGAAGAGTTACTCGAGCGGCAAAAATTGACACTCCAACAATATCGATTTGAGGTCCCAATGGATAGTGACACGCAGCTTAGCGAGGTTCAGACAGGTGTAAATGCCTCCCATGTTGCTGCTGTCGGAATCAGTCCGGGGAGAGGCTTTGCGGGAACTCTCCGCCGCATCGGCAGTAAATTGGAAAGCAACAGACCGTCACCCTCCAGCAAAAGTGCTACCCAATACATGTTTGATCTCGAAGACGACGAGGACGACAACTTTGACAATAATCAAATACAAGATCATGGAAGTTTCTCTGCGCCCTCATCCCCAGGTCGTGGGAGTTTTTCCGCCCCTTCATCGCCCGGGCAAAACGAGCAGCAGGCTACCTACTTGGACGGTCCTGTTTCGCCCAAGATTCAGGAGGTTTTCCCACAGTCTCCGAGGCAAAGCAATTCGTTGAATCTTCAAACCGAACAAGAGCAGGATCCGGCAGAATTGTTGCTGCGATCACCCGGAAAATCTGCTCGACTAATGGCTGATTTCCGTAGACAAAGCAGCAGCAGCAGTGGTTTCACCGGAAACACTGATGGCCACATGCGGTACTCTGCTGCAGATGGACGAGTTCCCAGCATGCTTCACTCTGAAAGCTCCAATTCGCTAGGCAACGGACCCACCCCACGGTCCAAGGGTACCGGTATGAGTCGCGATGTTGCTAATTTCAAATCGGCCGGGGCGAATGCCCTTCGCTTAGCCCGGGGGTTTCTTTCCTTCGATCACTTGGAGACTGACGAAGGACAAAACTACAATCTAGAAAGTTCCTCATTTGACAAGCGGAGGCTGGAGTCATCACTTTCCTTTGACAGTCGCCTGCATCGATTCCGTGGAAGTAAGCATAAAGCTGAAGACAAGGCTGGCACAAAGGGCGGTGGGCGCACGCAGGCACTGTTTGGATCAAATCGAAGCTGGGATGTCTCGAGTGGGATGGCGTCATCTGCAACAAGGCCCTCTGTAGGCAGCCCCCGCAGTGACCCTATCACGGAAATTGACGAGCATCCTGGACCTGCCGCAGTCACTCTCGATGCAAGTGCTTTTCGTGTGGCGCCGTATGTCAGGCTACACCAGCAACAACATCATCCGCATGCCCATGGCTACAACAACGCCAACAACAGGAGACTTGTCTCAGGAGAACGGCGGGAACGATTGATGGTTATGAATGAGTCTTCTGTTCTACAAAGTAAGCGCAACAACGAGGCGTTGGAGCTACTTCAGACGCCGCAGCGAATCGAAATAGAGAGAGAAGATGCACTGAATTTGCTATCGATGTTGTGCGAACGAGGCATAGCCCTGCGTTCCGACGAGACTGAATTGAACGGTCCTAACAACAGCGAGACTCAAATCGGTGATGTGCCGGTACCAGAAACTGATGAAGCAGAAACCAACACTCAAGAATGCGGACCTCAAAATGAAACCGAGGAAAAGACGTTGCAGCTAGATGCTGACGTTATCGATGCCGCTGTTGCGGCGCTTCGCGAAATCAGTGGAGGTGGTCGCCCGGACAGTGAACAGCCGGACCACTCCGTTCGAATGTCTGTACTGGACTGTCTCGTGGATTCTCACATCTATGCTCACGAAATGAAGCGCGCCTCGTTGTCAGCATCAGCCTGGTTGCGGTCCATTGGGCACACAGAGAAGAAGGGGACGGACGCTGATCACCCCCCAGCAGGCGAAGCTGGATTGCAGGCACCAGGGGAAGAAGAGGAAGAAACGGAAAAGTCGTCCAAGGCTGCTGCAATCGAGGTTCAGGCGCTGAAGGCAATGCTACACCAAGCTCAAATGGAAGCCCACGAAAAAGACGAAGCTGCACGCCAACTGAACGCGGAGTTATCGCAATGCCGCGCCGAGATTGGACGTTTGAAATCTGTTTCTCGGTCCAAGACGTCGTTCACTTCTCCAAACCGTTCCATCCTTGACGACGAAGAGGACTCTGTAGCGTCAGAGGTAATGGCGGATGGTGTCGCCAGAGTCGAGTTCACCAATAACATTGCGGATGAAAGTGTGGTCGATTTGGATAGGTAAGTCACGCCAAGCATATCAGCATCGTGATGGCATTATACACCGCTGACAAATCGCTTTTCCCTGCTTTTCCCAGCTCTCTATTCGTCGCCGATCAAGATGGTGCTGAGGTTGTGAGAGAGTCGGACCAACCAGTGGTCCGCGAGTTGGCCATGTTCAAATCGGCGTTGTCGGATGCTAACGCGATCATCAAGAAGCTTCACGATGAGATCCAAGATGCGAAGCCCGATAACGAGGCCCACACAAGGACAGCCCCTGTGATCGAAGTGTCACAGAAAGCCTTTTCGGTTGCTCTGGTCGACGAAAGCACCAGCAACGTTGAGAAAAGCCCTGGGAGTGCTTCGGACAGCCGTGAAGATCACAGAATGGTGAACGTCAGAATGCTAGATGCCGAGAACTTCGTGACTGATTGGGACCATTTGGAATCCCTTCCACCGCCGCCTGATCATGGCTTACGAGCGCCAATCGTGTTGGCTCTCTTGCAGCAATGGTCTCCGGATGAGGGCTTGCAGAAGTCTCTATTGTCTTGGTGTGACCAGGCTATGTCAGGTGCCGACCCTTCCACAATACCTCCGTTGACGCTCTCGTCGTTGGACCATCAAGTGAGAGATGGGTTCACAATGCACGTCTTGCCGCTATTGCTACGACGACCTGACATTCTTGTCGACGTCCAGCAGAGGACCCATCGGAAAACGACATACGATGTAGCCGTTTCGCTGAAGCGCAACCCACGAAGCCCTTCTATGCAGAGCATACGGTATATGGAACACGAAAGCAATCCAAAGTTCTCCTCGACACCAGAAGCCGCGTCAGCAGTCAACAGTGCGACCCATAGCGCCATCACAACACACATTCACAATGGAACGTCTCCAAGACGAGACCTGCACGACGTTGGGAGTACTGTTGCCAGTTACACAGCAGGAAGCAGCAACTACTCTACACTCCTTCCCCACAGGTCATCTGATGACAAAAGCGACAAAGATCAGCACTCTGGCTTGATGAGCGCTTTGGGCGGCGCACTCGGGGGCCTTTTATCGAGACGAAAACCTGCAGCAAGACATTACGATGCTGGAATTCCTGCCAACTCTTCCTTTGAGTGGGGTTCCGCTGCCGGTGCTGTAGGTCCTGGTATCATGGACTTTCCCCCTTCGCCACGTCGACTTGCTGCTGACCATGCCGATTCGGAAGAACCATACCATCGTTTGGTTTCAGCTCCACCGGGCAGAATCGGCGTGTCTTTTGTAGAATACCGTGGCCACGCGATGGTGTCTGATGTAGCCGAGGACAGTCCCTTGCTTGGGTGGATCTTCCCTTCGGATATTCTTATTGCTATCGACGAGAAGGCTGTGACTGGCATGCGTCTCAAAGATATTGTCAAAGTGTTGCAAGGACGAAATGATCGACAACGGGCTCTGCGTGTCATCAGCTCCTGCGCCATGCAAGAGATTACAATGAGCTTTGGCTCTCCCAATCCTTGAAGGCCGCACTCTATAGCTACCGGCCTGGTACCGCAGGGAGAACTACACACTGATATTATGATCGGCGCAGCGTAATGCACCTATTATAGTGATCTTCAGAAAAGAGTAGCAAATATTCTATCAAGTAAAGAAGCCACTAAACATTAATTTTGTTCCACTTTGGCATTTTTCGCAATTCACTACTGAGTATTGTTTTTTCATTTTGTCCTCGCCATGTAATCAATATCGTGCAAATTTTGCGGGAGACGACGTCTGGCAATAGCACAGTTTCTCTTCCACAAGAGTATGTGTATTGCAACCTATTGCAGCAGCCGTGTTTTTTCCGCGCTGATTGAAATAGGTGTAAATTGCTTAACAGCAGCCCCCCCTTTGTTGACTCTGCATTCCAGGCAGCTGTCCAGAGGCGGCCAATCCAACTTTGATACCGTGGCTTTCATTGGAGGCATCAATTTCGCCAGACAAGATTTTGCCATGAATTTGCTCTGCCGTCTTCAAAAAGGCAGTTTCGACATTGTGTGCCGTTTTGGCACTGGTTTCCATAAAGATGAGTCCATTGGCATCAGCAAAAGCCTGTCCCTCCTCGGTGGTGACGGCACGCCGATGTTCTAGATCATTTTTGTTGCCAATGAGCATAATCACCATATTGCTCTGACTGTGCTGACGAGCTTCTTCCAGCCACCGACTCAAATGCTGAAACGTATCCCGTCGTGTAATGTCATAGACCAGTAGCGCTCCAGCGGCTCCTCGATAATACGACCTAGTAATGGATCGAAAGGACTCTTGCCCGGCCGTGTCCCAAATCTGCAACTTGACCAGTTTGTCCTCCAAATTGATCATTCGAGCGCCAAATTCCACTCCAATGGTCAAATCGTGCACTGGTTGGAAGCGCTTGTCGGTAAACTGCAACAGGAGACATGACTTGCCCACACCTGCATGAGCCATTACAATCAATCAAGGTAAAGCAACAATGACAAAGATGACAAAAATAAGTGAGGAGAGACCATTTGATTCAATTCAAGGATTCGGTCCCACCAAACCAAGTTTACGAGCGAATCGAATGTATCTTTGTCATGGGAAAAGTCAGGATACCAGCGGCAAGGACGCACCTGTGTCGCCAATGATAATGTACTTGAAAAGATAGGAATATGACATGGTCTACTATGTAGAAAGGATATTGAAATGACGAGTTTTTGCGGTCTTGTTGTTGTTGTTGTTGCTTTTGCGTTCGTGGTTGACGGTCTTCACTTGTGTTTGGACATTGTGGATTGATTGATCATGCAAGCGGAACTCGATGTGGAATTCTTGCTGTCATAGCTCGCTCGCTTCTTCAAAGCATGCATGCTTTTCCAGCGCGTTTTCTGTCATTGGTTTAGCCTTATCTCTACTGCAATTTTTGTCACCAGACCCAGACTTGCTCCATCCGTCCTTCCGATCGTGGACCTCATCGGGTCATGCTTTTGTCTTCACAAACAGCAATCCGCCCTTTCGCATACGAGTATCGATCAAGCACAAGATAGTCCGTCCCAATCTTTTCTGTCCAAGCAATCAATCAATACACAATGGCCGAATCCAAAGACGTCGACATGGCCGATGCCGCCGCCGCCCCTGCCGTAAGTCTGGACGTTCTGGTCTGCTGAACCGAGTCGCCCTTGTGTTTGGATCTTTTTGCTGGATTACTCACGTCTGCCGTCATTTTGCGTCTCGTCTCGTCGTGTTCCGTCCAAAGCCCGCCCCTGCCAAGTCTGGTCCGGCCCCTCCTCGATTTGAGATCAAAAAGTGGAATGCGGTTGCCATGTGGAGTTGGGATATCTGTGCCGACACGGTGAGTAAGCGTGGCGGCGTATATATATATATATATCGTGGTCGAAAACAAAGATATTTGCCGTATGACTGACCAATCAATCCCATGCTTTTGTTTTGTTTTGTTTTGTTTTGTTTTGCAGTGTGCCATTTGCCGAAACTCGTTGAATGAACCTTCCATTGAATATCAAGCCAACCCCAGTCCCACAAATGACAATGGACTGAGTATTGCCTTTGGAAACTGTGGTCACGTCTTCCACTTGGATTGCATTCAGCGTTGGTTGAAAACACGATCAGTCTGCCCTCTCTGTAACAAGGAATGGGACTTTGCCAAAATTGAACGTATTCCTGGCTATGGACAACTGGGAATTTAATAATAAAAGCAAGCACAAAACGAAAGGGCAACAATTTGCGCAAAACAAAAGAAGAAATCACGTCTTGTGACGGACCGAACGGACGGACCGTCGCAAGCACAATCTACAAGAACTCGACAACCCCGAAAAAGAGCTTGAGCCACGAGATCCCTTGGGCGTTCTGACAGATCTACATACTATAGCTGTAAGGCAGAGAGCTGGGTTTATATATAGAAACTGGTTCCAGGCTTCGAGCTAACATATAGACACGAAGTGTCAAATAAATAGATACAGTAGGAACTCTACTCCTTTATCCTACAGTATTCAATCTTCTTATTTTGCTCTTCAGTTTCTTGCTTGGCTGTAAGACAGAGAGCTCGGTTTATGTAGACACCAGTTCCAGGCTACTAGCTACATGGACACGAAGTGTCAAATAGACAGGAAGCGTCTCTCAACTCTATTCCTTTTATCCTATTCAGAATTCTTCTTTTGCTCTTCAGTTTGTTTCTTGGCTCGCGCTATTGCAGCGCCTTGGAGGCGCCTCATCTGCTCCTCCACCGTCTCTGCTGTTCCTCCGCTTCGTGCCACTCCTGGAATTCCATGGTGTGCCAAACCACCAATCATCGTTGCGTCAATCTGTTTTAATGATGGGATAAATTCGGCCAATTTCTTGCGATACTCAAATTCATCCGCTACGGGATTGTATTCCAGGTACACTGTATCCAAGCCATGGCTTCCCAAGGCACTCAGGGGTTCTACATCTGTAAAACTGGCAATCTTGTTGCCAGACAGCCACAGTTCTTCCAGTGATGTCAAATGAGCCAACGGAGCCGTGCTGATGATGCGATTGCGACTCAGATCCAGCACATTCAGATTGGGAAATGCCTGAGCAAGGCCAGATTCCAGTGTGATTCCCTCGGAAGTAATGCCATTGTGCCCCAGGAACAACTCTTCCAGAGTGTCATTCTGACTGGTCAGATTCTCCACTTGCGTGATGCGGTTGGATTGAACGTCCAAGCGACGAAGATTCTTCAACTGAACAGTACACCAAGGGAACAATGGATGGATGAGACAGTTGGAAAGTAAATATTTTTATAGGAAGCCAGAGCTGGAGGCAAACTGTCTTCTTTGACCACTCACATTTTCCAGGCCCTCAATTTTCTCAATTTTGTTCTTTCCCAGCCAGAGCTCTTCCAGACTCACAAGACCTGAGAGTTCTTCTGCATCCATGATCCTGATTCTGTTAGCTCCCAGATCAATTTTGCGCAGCTTGCTCAGCCCTTTGAGGCCTGCCATGGTCTTGAGCTTGTTGTTGGCCAAGTCTGATGCAAAGGACGTCGGCAAGGTCAGCTCCAATTGGATTAAAAAGAAAGCCATCCCAATGCACGAATACAGGTTAACAAAATTGAAGCTGAACTAACTCACATAATTCCGTCAAATTGGGGCAGAATGAGACAGGGTCCATGTCTCGGATTACATTGTAGCTCATATCCAAAACAGTAAGGGTGCTTCCAGGAGTCCCATCTTCGCCATCGTTCAGATTCTTTAATTCTTCAACCATATTGTCATAGAGCTCCAAAAGCTGCAAGTGTTTGAATCCCTCCAAACCTTCCATGGACTTGATAAGATGCGAACGAAGGATTAGACGTGTCAACTCTGGAGATGCCGTCTCATGAAACTGCTGGCCAATTCGAGTAATCTTTTGTCCCGCTGTTCCCACAATCATGATTTCTGTGTCTTCCTTCGATATTTCACCCACATCAGAAGGATAACGAATGACGTTGGCCGGAGCATTGGCAGCATCGCATTGACCCATTTGAGTCCATTCCATGGGAAACTCTGCTAGTTGGGCACGATTACCAGAAGAGTTGGTTTCCCCGTTCTCCACGGGAGCCCCTGTGCCTCCTTCATTCTCAGCTGCAGGTGCCTCCGCTCCTGAAGCTTCCTTTGAATCTTCTACCACCTCCTTTGCTTCTTCTTCCGCCATTGTTGACTAAGTTGCCAGGATAGTAGACTTGCTTTGTGTCAATTGCTACCGGTATGATCTATCGAGTGTTGTTATTGTGGTGGCTGAGAGTCGTGGACCATCAGCGAACGAAATCGATGGGGTTGGAACAGCAACTTCGCTGGCTAATTTCCAGAAACGATTTCGACGCTATCTTCCTCACTTTTTGAATTCAAATCTTTCGGCTCTTCCAAAAATTCCCCAGAATATGTCACCATGATGAGTGCTGTCAACCCGCAAGGATGGACGTCCCCTCGCCAGTTTCTTCTACTTTGGTCCCTGTGCGCTTGTCTAGTGGTGAACGAAGTGCTGGAAATGCCAAGGCATTTCCAGCAGTACCTCAGGGTACCGCAAAGCCAGGAAATTGATTTGTCAGATCTGGAGGCACAGTTTCACACAAAGAGACTTCAAGTGCTGCAGAGGCTAAAGGAAACAGATCTGCTGGAGTGGGGTGCCTATGAAGATTTCAAGCACTATGTTGACAACTTTCAAGTCTACGTCTTGAACAAGACTGCTGATCCGTCACCGCCTCTTTCCATGTTGACGAACTATACCTACTTTTATCTCCCAGATAAAGGAGGAGCCAATCTTTGTTGGGCTGCCACTTTGTTTCATACCTATTATCAGCAGCCAAGTCCGAGCCCCTTACCACATATACTGATCACATCACTCAATCGTGATTGGGGTGCCTTTTCTGTTTCCATGTTGCCCGGGGTATACATCATGAAGAGTAAGTATGAACAGAATTTGCAATACAAAAAGAAGAGTTGCTTAGATAGCAATGGTACCGATATACTAGGATTGTACTTGAATCATCCAGATACCAAGGCTGTTATCAGTACCCAAGCGCACGACGTCCATTATGAAAAAGCACATTCCCTAGCATTGGGATTGGAAGCTCCTGTTCGCTCCTATCTCATTTACGAGACTCTGAAACGACAACAGCCTAGGCAGACACGTCCAGACATTATGTACGTCAGCGCTAAGGAATGGGACTTTCGACAAGGGGCTCTGAAACTTGTGGAAGAAAGGTTTCACGTTTCTAACCAATACCAGCAGTATTGGGGATTTGATGCGAACAATCCGCAAGCGTTTCGAAAGACACGGTTACAACGTGTCAGGCAGAGCATTCGCGAACTCTTTACTAGTATCCCAAATCCTCCAAAACAATATTACTTAAACATGAGCCATTCCAAGTTTGTGTTCTCCCCTGTGGGCTTTGGAATGGATTGCTATCGCAACTGGGAAGCTTTGTATTTGGGTTCAATTCCCATCATTGAGACCAGAAACCGCACTCAGGACAACTGGTTCCGTGTCTTTGATGATCTTCCAGTGGCTCTCATTGATCATTTTGACAACCTTACTCCAGAATGGCTTGAGGCAGAGTATGTAAGGATTCTTGGAGGAAACTATCGATGGGAGAAACTTACCAAGCAGTACTGGGTGGATTTCACAAAGGCATTCCTGGATCCAACACAGAGACAACTGTAGCAAACTTGGGCCACCGTAGTCCACAACCTAGACTACCATAGTATCTTCATGTATAATATCACTGACACCTGGATGGCGCTTCAACTGTAGGCATGGATGCAACGCGGGGTAATGGTGACCATGTGACACTACCGTGCGGTGTACACGAAAGCGAGCTACCGAAAAACGATTGCACGGAGGCTAATGGACCACTCGAACACCAGCACTTCAACGTATGTTGTGTTATAGATTATTTTAAATCATGAAGCCTCTTGCAATGGATACAATACCAGTCTTCTTCCCCCAGGGAACGCATAGTAGAACCAAGGTTCTAGCCGGTTCGAAGGAGACCATCTCATTGGACTATTTCAAAGTAGATACTGGCCAAACCAAAGTCTGTCTCTTCGTCCAATTCCTGATGCATAGCCAGTCGCTGCCAGTGACACAACGACATGAGCAGCCCTTTGCATCGTCGCCTTTTGAAGCCATAGTTGCGAAGGATTTTGTAGGCTTCTGCATCTGTGAATTGCATAAATGAATCTCCGGCAGATTTTCGAAGGAAAGCTGCGCCGTTCAGCGCGGTGATGGCCTTGTTGGTTTCCTCTCTGGAGAATTGCAGCTTTACCAATGGAGAGGCCTGGGAGACGTGGGGTAAGGCATAACGTGAGCTGCATGCTGCCATCATCAATATCATTGCGTCTCATTTCCTTGTGCTTACCTGCTCGAACTCCTCCTGAGAAACCTTGGCAATCAAAGAGGACGCCGACTTTCGTGGTGTTCTCGATGTCGCCTCTTCCTTTTTCTCCTCCTCCAATGATTCGACACGCGGAAACAGCTCTCGCTGGTGTTCGCTGTACGAAATCGCAGTGAAGCCAGTAATATCTGAAGCGAATGACATTGGGGAAGACATACTAGTAGTGGCATCAACCGCAAAGCGAATTGTCTTGGGCGTGCTCGACGCCACCATCCCTGGAGGCATCTCTGCACGGGGACTCTTCATCTGGTCTTTCGTGTCATCGAGATTGTCGTCGTCTTCCCCATCAACGTTAGCCACCGATCGTCGATAGGGGGTCTTGCGGAATGTCACACCTTTGCTGATCGGGGTCGACGATGAAAGGGGGTCACCTTCGAAGCGAACGCCTTGCCCTGAATTGTCATCAGGGAACTTGAGGCTTTCCATTGATTCACGTTCTGTGATTTTGGCAAGCGGAGTCTTTCGGTAGACTTTTGTTATGCCCTTGGAAGGGGTACGAACGTCAAACCGAACGCCAGAATGTGGTTTGGAACTCGATGTGGGTTCTGGAGGACCCGATTTGAACGGAGTCTTTCTGAAGCTTCCTTTGGTGCTGGTTGCCGGGGATTGAAACTGAACATTGAAGGCAACAGACTTGCCAAAGCTTCTCCGTTCACTGTTGCGGCCTCCTGTGTGGAAGGGAGAGGAAAGCGCAGTACCTTGATTCTCTTTGCCATTCTCAAAGCGAAATGGACTGCTGATTGGCTTGCTTTGAGCAATTCTGGAAGTATCACTGGTCACTGATGTAAGGCCCAAATCATTCCTTGCAGGATACGGCGTCTTTCGAAAAGCAGGATGATCGCCATTACCTTCCACACTGTCGCCACGGAATTTGACCGTTTTGGGGACTCCGTTTGTCTCTGATCTCTTGGCACTCAATGTTTTTCGGTGCGAGCCTCGTTCATTTGGAAGCACCTTGAATCCAATGCTATTGTCGTCCGAGATGATTCGATATCGGTCGAGTACAGGGGTCTCATCACCGAGGCTAGCTGCATCACTGATACGTCGTGACCTGTGTGACACGGCATCTGCGTCGTGGAGAAACATGCTTCCGTCCATGGTCAAGAGAGTTTGTGAAGGTGATCCATCGTCGGTTTGAACAACGACGTGACTAATGTCGTGTTGGTTGGGTCGGAAGATTTTGTTTCGAGTGACATCAATTTCAGGAGACAACACAGTATCTTTGGCTTCTGCCTCGCCACTTGCTTCAACCAAGAGAGTGGATTGCTGGTTCTGTGTACGAAAGATTTGGGAAAACGCGGAATAGCTGCAGTTGAAGTTTGGTTCCTTGTGCGTGGCCAATGCTTTCGCTCCCGAGTGGGTCTCCTCCTCGTTAGCAACGTGACCGCCTTTTTCCTCGACACTCTTTGGTTTTCGATCTTCAGCAATGACAGTTGGACACAGCGTAGACTCATCGACACTGTCATCGTCCTCGTCGTCGTGCAGCATGCGCAGGTAGTCGGTAGAGGCATTGTCTTTCTGCTGAGTGGAATTCTCATCATCGTCGTCGTCAGGATGACTCATTGAACCAGAGTGATAGTTTCGAATAGCATCCAGACCATTTTCAGAGTTGCTTGTGTTTTGGATTGGGTTCCGACTTTCGTTGTCGCTTGCAGCATCTGGAGATGCAGACATCTTGGCCGACAGATTGTTGTTTTGCTGGGCCATCTTCTTGCGGTTTGGCGTGTCAAAGTCCTGTGTCAATATGGAGGTTGTAGTGGCACTGATAGAAACAAGAAGAAACTGACTTTGTAAGATGCTCTGTGACCGTTCACTTGGCCGAGAACGACGAAATCGTTGTGCTTACCTAAGATGGAGATCTCTCAGAGAAGGCGTCGAAGGGGTTCCCGGTCCTCTCTGTGAAAAGGGCGTACGTGGACCCGATCGCAAGGATGACGCTGCCGACCCAAAAGAGTATCGGTCGGTCTCGTTGTCCATTTCTTCCACTTTGTCCAATGGCAACCCCAAAGACCAATGATAAGGCGTGATGACTCTAGTTTCATCCAACGTTGCGTCGCTTGCTGAAGCAGGCGATCCGGCAAGCAAAGCTTCAATGCGCTTGATTTGTTGGGAATGGATTGCATGAAGAGAGGTCAAAATCTGAGAAAGTTCTGTGGCTGTCATTCTTGATGGTCCACCTCCCCCACTCAATGTCGGCAACAGATGCTCAGTCGACTTCATCAGCGCATCATCAACGTCATCCACTCGCTTTGCTAGAGTGTCCAGAAACCCTTCCGCTTCATGAATCTGCGATTCTTCATATTCAATCGAGTAAAAGAAAGGGAAAGAGACAACCTGCCTTGTTAGATTCAAAACAAAAAAGGACAATCGATTGTCACCAAAATTTTCTCGTACCCTTGTCTCGACAACTATCACCGGGAGAGGCTATTGATTCCAGAGTGGAAACAGCGTCAAATTCTCTGCAAAGACTTGTCAGTGCCTTCGACAAAGTCGTCAGATTGGTCGTTTGATTGGTGAACATCTTCCTTGCCCTTTGCTCATCAAACAACAAAACCAATCAATCGGAGGAACAGCAACAACAAAACAGTGATTTCCCCCAAGCAAAATGTGAGGGCCAAAGCGTCATGCAGACAAATTCAAAATGGAGTCCTCAGTCCCATTTAATTCGTGATTAGTCTGTTCGTCTGTCTTGAATCACAATAGCAAAAATTAGCTTTTTGCCTGGCCCAACGCCATTTTACGCTTTGGGATCAACCAAAACCAACTCTCTTTCGATTTTTATCTTCTTCATTTGGTGTTTTCCAATCCATCAATCGATCGTTGTGTCATTGGAGATACCGGTAGCTTCTTTGTCAAGACGACGAAAGGTACGAGAGCATCATTCGTTGTTGTGGTCACCGCCTTTCTTTCCATCGAAGTCTCACATCGAGTCATTAACCTTACCATGGTCAACGTCTGTTAACTGCACCGCCCGAAGAAACAAGAATCCTCGCTCTCGTTGGTTATAACTGAGGGCTCCGTTGGTATTCCAGCGGCCAACAATTGGATATCGGAACTCGTTCAACCATGTCGCCATGGAAAGATCGCCTCAAGGCGCTGATGCTGGGCATCAACGGCACCTATGACCCAGCCCATCGTCGGAGTCTTCAGTCGGTCATTATGTATGAGGCTCAGCGTTGCGTCAAGTCCAAGCTACCCACGCTTCGTCCCTTTCAGCGCAAGATTGCCTTTTACGATCAGGCCGTTGCATTGTTGGAATCTCTCGAGTTCGTCCCACCACATCATCAAGCGGAGGTCATGTGGCGGACGGCTACAAGCAGGGACGCTATGGATCCAGATATCGCTTGGAAGCGATCTCGATTGCTCGAAAAGGAACTTTCGAACTTGGCGGAGAAAATCAAGCCCTTTGTGGGAGAAGGGTTGCTCACCCATCAGCAGGCGTGTGATGCCATGGTGCAAGACATGTACGAAAATAGTCAGAAAGAGGCAGGGGAAGAAAGCAAGTCCGGTGAGAAACCCGCCAACTGGGAGCACGCTCATAACAACGTCATGCTCGTCTTTCGACTCTACTACAAGTTCTCCGAGCCAGACCCTGATTTCCCACCGGCAAAACCAGCCATTCCCATTGTCGTGCCGGCCGAAAAGCCACCAAAGATGGACCCCCAGGCGAGTTTCTTGGTCCATAACAACGCCACAAAGGTTCCTCTGGCGGCAAGCTCCCCGCTTCGGATGCCCAATCAATCCAAACTCACGTTTGTTGGTGGGGCGTTGGCGGCTCCAGATCCTATTGCGGAACGTTCCCGGGTGCTCAAAGAGGTAGGTTCACAGTGTCGGTGGTGAACCGACTAGATAATCCCACATTAGTGTTTCCTCACAAACAACTTTTCCTTTCGCAGGTTCGTGACCACCTGGATCTGTTGAAGGAGTTTGAAGGGGTCATCCCGGAGGAGGACATCCAATCTCGAAAGCGGGAGCTGTTCGATGCTCTCCCACCAGCTCCACCTCCGTTTGAGGGAAAGAAAGCAAAGTTGGTTTAAGCGAGGGCGTTCGCTTCGCTTGATGTTATCGGAGTCTTGCCCTGTAGCTTCAAGGGCATACATTCTGTCTTGTGATTGTTTCACCGACGTCGTTGGTACCGTCCCAAAATGGAGAGAAGGGGCTGAGTTAGTTTACATTTGAGTTGAATTGGTTTGATAAGTGCAACCGTTCTATCCCGCGATAGCTTAGTTAACAAAAGCAAGATAACTAGGCCTGGTCCAGAAACTATGAAGTCATTATGTTTTTCTAGCTAGCCACCGGTAGTATGAAACAGACAGAGGTTGTTGCTGGACTGTGGCTTCTCCAGGAGGTGTCAATCCCGACAGATAATAATGTCAAAAGCTCGCATTTGATCAAGGGCGCTCTGATGGAAAGGCCCGGAAGGACCTTGTATCCTCCAGTCAGGTCATGCGAGAGCATGTACCAGGTACTAAAAGAGCAACGGCTTTGATACCAACAGTGCAAGGAAGGATATTACCTCTTAGAATCTTGCTTACATTCATTCGGTTTATTTGGATGTATAGATGTGAAGTGTACTCAGCAGATTGCCTCGACAAAGAGGACATGATCGCTGTGAGGAAGCCAATTCGGTAATGGACTTGGTGCATTCATCGCAGAGACACAAATGGCCACAAGGAATGACGGCCTTGGTAGCAGATTGTTCATGACAGACAGCACAAAGTGCATTTACGAGAGTGCATTGGTTTTCGTGGACATCTTTCATTTGGTCGTGAAGCTCTTTTGTTTTGGAATGTTCCCCGGGCAACTTTTTGAGGGTCGTATCCAACGATCGAACTCGTGCCTTGACTCTTTCTTCTCGATCCTTGAGACTGGTCTGTTCAGCCAGCACAGATCCAATCTCTTCCTCGAGACTATGCATCAACAACTCTCCCAAAGAATTGGCTCTTTCCTTTTCTTGTTCCACCTCCTCTTTGAGTTTCTTCACTTGTTCAGATGTCACTTCGTCTTCTTCTTCCTCTTTAGCTTCATCGCCAGTTTTTCCCTTGTCTTCGTCATTATCTGTTTTGGTATTGTCGTCTTTCTTGTCGTCTTCCTTCTTATCATCTGCGTTTTCTTGTTGTTGTGCATTCCGATCCAGGTCACTGACTTGTGATTCCAACTTTTTCATGTGTTTCTCCAACAACGTCCAAGCTGTGCGATCGCGTGCACCTTCATCAATGGCATGATCCATAATCTTGGCAGCATAGTCCGAGTTTCCTCGGATCCGTGCTTGTTGCAACTTCATCAACGCGATGCGAGTCCGCAATAAACTCATCGAAACTTCGTCATCTCCTAATGGCTCCAACAAGGCGGCCACACTGGGATCCAAATTGTTCGGTAATGCTTCTTCTTCGCTGTCGCTGTCATCGGGATAGCGGTATCGACGAGCTGGCATCTTTTTGCTGTTTACTTTTAATCTATCTCAATTATGACAGTGGGTACTATTGTGTTTTGTTTGTTTCTTCAAGGCATGAACGGGAGCTTTGAGATCGACTATTGGCAGCAGAGCAGCAGCAGGTGCACATGGACATGTTGTTTGAAATTGCTGCTGCGAGAAAGAAGTGAAGTGTCGTGAATAAGCAAGATCCATGACGTCATTCTAAACACTGAACAACCCTGTAAGTACACCAGACAATCGAAAATGGTTCAGTGGACTTCGTCCCATCCCTCCTTTCGGCTTTCCTCGTCATTTTTTTGTGAAGAATTGACCTTGACGATGGCGGAGGCCGACGAAATCAGCAACCTCACCTGCTCCGACATTGAGGACCACCCCCAACATCACACCAAGGGGCGCCCCATGAAGCGTGACAGCATAGACAGTCTGAGAGTCAGCCATAATGACGACGACAAGGATGAGTATGACGACCGCTCTGCCGACGAAGACACTCACTTTGACCCGGACGAATCCGATACTGTCGAAACCATTGCCTTGTTTGGCGTGGACAGTCGAACCGGTCATCATTTTCTTCGTCTTGCATTGGATGCTGGCTATCGGGTTCGGGCGTTGGTAGAACCCAACACAACAATGGATGGACAGTTTCAGGATTTGTACATTGTGGTTGGCACGCTGTCGGAACATGCCAAAATTCGTCAAGTTCTCCATGGTTCCACTTATGCGGTGTGCATGGTGGGGGAAACAGCTTTGACCAAACTATCTGGGGGATATCCCAAAAGGTACCTGTTGCAATTTGTCAAGACACTGTACCGAATCATGGCAAAACAAGAGGATCCAAGCATCCAAGGCTTTCTCTTCCAGGCCACTTCCTTGGCGGCCAATCAATGGGGCGAAATTCCAGCTATGTCTACCTACATTCGCAAATATTGGACTCGACAACATACACTGCAATACGTGGAAGATTTGGATGCTGTCATTCGATATATCCATTCACAAAGTTGGGGCAAAAACAAGGCAAGCTTTCCTTACATTATCACGCGGCCCACCTCCTTCCTACGGGACGGACGATCTACTAAAAAGCTACAGGCTTCCAAATCAGTAAGTGTATTGATGAGTCTATGTTCGCTCAAGTTGTTCCTTCACTCCTTGAACACATTATGTTCTCTCTGTCATAACATAATCTCTTTTTTCTGAAACTAAACTCTGCTGCAACAGCAACCTGGTCCATTTCCATACTGCAATGTAGATCTTGCTGAATACACATTGAATGCTCTAACGACACCCAAGCTTTATAATACATGTCGCTATGTTGTGGGAGACGGTTGCTGATCAAGTAGCAGCAATTGAAGTACTGTGCAGCCCCTATCATAAATCACTATTTATTGCTAGCTAGAGATAGTATAGATGCAAACCGGCAGAAGTAAACAAATTAAGGCTGCCGAAGGCATGAGCCCTCAACGAGTTTGATTTAGATTGGCAGATAGGTTGTCAAGGCAGGCTAGCTGCCGCCAGCTACATCATACTACCGGTAACTAGACTCCAGAGTGACTCAGTCTCCCTCGCTTTGGCTGCTGCCCGAAGTCTCTCAGATAGCACGACAATAATAATACATACTAATGCAGCATCACTTACTTAGAACACACATTGATTTTTTTAAAAAGACTAGATGTGGCCCGGCAGGGGGTTCAAAGTGGAATAGATCCATTCCACCTTATCATTGTGACAACCCTGTGTTCATTCATCTTTGCGCCGACGAAGGACGCAGCTTGTATCACAGCGCAACCCGGTGTCATTCCACGCGGTATTAAGGACAAGATCTCCAGGCTCCAAGAAAAGCACTGGTTTGGGCTGCTGGATAAGAAACTGGCGAATTGGCTGAATGGCTTCTGGAACCAAACAGGTGTGTTGGGCAAGCCAATGCTTGGGGTCGCCCTCTTCATGTTTCTCCATCAAAGCCTCTGCTTCTTATTCTAGAGTCTCAAACTTAACTCTGTCACCCTCCTGTCTATTGTGCTCACTGAATTCATACTTCATCCACGGACAAGCCACTCGTTTGCGAATTCGAAACAAGAACGACTGTGCATAATACAGAATCCTGGTCTCGAATTCAAATCCATCAAAAGAACCCAAAGTGCAGTCCCTCTGAAAGCAGGCATTGTGTGTAAGCCGGAGTTCCTTCTCAAATTCCATCCGACCCGAAATATTGTCATCCCAAGCAGGAGTCCATTGTCCTCTTCGTTCGCTTCTTCAATGTCTTCATCTGTAGTCCGCCAGAACTCACAGGTTCCTTTTGTAGTCCGATTTTCAACTTGTCCACCAATCCAAACACCACGATGGTAAATAATGTCATAGGTTCCCACCACGCTCTCTGGGTCCACTATATTGGGTCACATTGGTGAGAGTCCAACTTGGGAAGTTCGTAAAAGTGAACGTTGTGTTTCCTCATGATTGGATGTTCACAAGCTGCTTTGGGCTTTTGCTTCAACATAAAATCCTTGAATTTGGCCTCTTCTGCTTTGCGCTGTTCCTCTTCTTCCTTTGCTTTGGCCTCTTCTGCTTTGCGCTTTTCCTCGTCTTCCTTGGCTTTGACCACATCACAGGGCAAGCAAAACGGTTTGGACTGGTATGTCTCCATTGTCAGCCCATCACAGAGCAGGTTGTAGTGCCATTGGTCCTCGGAAAACTGGTCGAGCGGTTTTGTCTCTTTACAATCCATACACAGTCTTGGAATCTTGAGGATGCATTGCACACAAATGGGGCCTTCCATGTTCCTGTTCATGTCCATGTCCATGTCCATGTCCATGTCCTTTGGCTTTGAACGATTGAGCATGCCATAAGCCTTTCTTTGATCCAAGGCATATCCTGTCCTGTCCTGCATCTGCTTGCAAACACGGCAGCAATATTTTTTGGTTTGCTTGGTTTCCTTAGCTTGCTTGGCGGCGTTATGCTTCTGGACTCTAGCACTAGCCCCTTCCTTCCACTGTTTAAAGCTGGTGCGGGAGCTTGGCTTGGGGACTCTACCGGTGTGCAATACACGGCTCTTAGCCTTATTCGCGACTCGATCCTAGATAGGGTTTGAGTTCGACTCATGACTGAGTCTCTCGCGAATAGTCATTTGAGACAGGGTTCTCAATGACCGCGCTAGTCATACTAGGTCGATGATGAAACATCGCTCTAGATATTTAGCCAGCGTGGAATACTTCCACGCTACTAGATCCAGGCTAGACAAACCTTCCACGCGTTCCGTTTTAGGATCGTGGAGAG